ACATCGACTTCCAACGGTTTTCACGATATTTCTTTGACCTGCCAGTCCATGATCTCTTCCTTCCATATCCTATTCTATTCCTTGTCCACATTCGACGCTAAGTAACAACAGTTAGCTATAATTGCGTCGTTAACAGCTACACGAGGATTGCTATATTCTTGCTGTTTGCTATCTGGACGTAGTATTTGACTCTGAATACGTAGGTAGTGCTTTCATCCAAAACGTCGGTAAACTTGTACTAAACTACGCGCACCTAATCCCAGAATATGGTTCCCTTCTACGTTCCAACGCAATTACCCTAAGCATAACAGCATATTCTTAATATTAGACATAGAACAGAAACGATTCATTTGCATTAAGCTTTTCCATACTCCTCGAGCAATATATCTCTCAGAAGCACAGGCTACTCTTGTCGCGATTTATTTCGTGTTCGAAATATCATTAACAGAGACGTGCCAACAGTTGCCGCTAATTCACGGTGTTCCCGCCCTATAAATTATACGTTACCACCAACTCATGAAAGTCCTGTAAATAAAACCGAGCAAATGAAGCACTGACGACTCTGATACAACTGTACTGGAGCCGCCTCGCGTGAGTGAGAGGCCATATTGTTACTCATCATTTAAATTAACTGACATTGCAACTGACTCACTTCTCCTCTAAAAGCTGAAATGCAGCAGATACTCAAGATAGACAAAAGCTCTACAATGCAGCCAGCGTGTCCTCTCGCGGAATTCGGAGTGACACGAAACATCCATAGGCGCGACGAGAAATACGGACAAAACTGTAGCTGGAGAACGTTAAAGGGAAGAACTATTAGACAATGTGAAGATAATATTAAAAGGGGACTACGGAAAGTACACGAGCCGGGATAGATTAGTCGGTATGCCGACGGGCTACAGGCTAGAAGACCGGGAGGACGGGTCTGTCTTTTGTACGAGTATATGCTGCTGGTCCTTGCCAGCACAGTCTTTCTCGGGTCCGAGTCCCTTGGCACCCGCGAACGTATTTTACTGTCTCACACTTGAGACTTCCCTTTTTGTTCTCCTACGACTTGCAGGGTCACGGTGGAGGTATTCGGCACCGCCTCCACACAGCTCTCGAGTGCCATGTATTTAGTTAGTTTGTTAATCATTTAATTGCCTAATTTGCCTGTACCCATTAGGCTTTACCACTGACTTCTCTCGCTCGAAACCGTTTTATGTGAATGGCGTCTATCCAAGCAGGGGAAGGAGCGAAACTTTTTTAACAGTTGTGCTGATGGCCCACATGACGTGGCAGGCTAGTTCTTAATGAAGGACAAGTTACCCCCTCCCCACCATAACTAGACCCATTCTTTCCTCTAAGTGGTTGAAATATTTGTCATCCTTTGCACATGTTGAGCTGACGCTACCGAATTATAACAGTTCCAGACAGATGAATATAGCCATTTGCTGCTTCTTAATCAGCCTTACCTTCTTCCCATGAGATCTGTCTGTTTACCAACAGTTTACTTTGCTAACGGACTCTGTAACTACTTAAATAAGTATCTAAATANTGGCAACCTCACAGCTATCTGTGACCCGATTTTCTAGAAAATATAAGTGTCTGGATTCCTCACAACCCTATGGGCCTCCACTGTCTGTTACAGGGATAGCTTTACCTATTTTGTAACAGCCGAGTTAAAATAATTTTCTTATACTAAGTAACTAATTAGCCGGCCACGGTAGCTGAGCGGTCTAAGGCATGTACTGTCTTCGCTCGCTTGGAAGCCGGGATCGTGAGTTCGAATCCCACTCAGGGCATGGATGTTACTTTGTGTGTGTTCGTTTTTCTGTGTTTGTGTACAGGTAGAGGCCTTGCGACTAGCTGATCACCCGCCCAAGGAGTCCTATCGAATATGTAAGATCTAGAAAAACCGAAATGAACGGAGCAGTTCATGGAGGCAGGCCTAGGCCCACTGGGGCTGTAGTGCCAAGGGAAGGAAAAAGTAACTAATTAACTAACTCAATGGAGCTGAACCCTTTTTAAGAAGCCAACAGTCGATCAGCCGCTCTTGAGGCGAGACATCAACATACACTCTGTTCTCTCTTGCTCACTGTGCCCACTTCTTCCTAGCGTCAATTAGAGCTTCTGTGTTTTTCTTCATGGTATTTATGTTATCTCCCAATAAATTTACAACCTCTGTATAGACCAGAATCTGATGTGTTCCATTCAATTTAAATTTCACTTAGTTTTCTCGGACCGTCCTAATGGCGTATTCTAAAGTGAAGTTAAAAAGCAGTGGAGATAAAGCATCTCCTTGTTATAGACCGTTTTGAATAGGAATAGTATCGGATAGATGTCAAGCAGTACGGAAATTACTATAGGCTTCTTTAAAAGGTATTTTAATAAGTCTCACTAATATTATGAAAATATTTGGACCGAAGAGGGATGAAGTGAGAGTAAGTTGGAGAAAACTGCATAATGAGGAGCTTCATAACTTGTACTCTTCTCCAAGTATAATTAGAATGATCAAGTCAAGGAGGATGAGGTGATCAGGTCATGTAGCATGAATGGGGGAGACGAGGAATGCGTATAGAATATTGATGGGAAAGCCGGAAGGAAAGAGACTGCAAGGGCGACCAAGGCGTAGGTGGATGGACAATATTAAAATGGATCTTAGAGAGATAAAATGGGATGGTATGGATTGGATAGATGTGGTTCAGGATAGGGACCAGTGGAGGGCTCTTGTGAACACGGTAATGAACCTTCGGGTTCCATAAAATGCTGGGATTTTCTTGAGTAGCTGCAGAATTGGCGGCTCCTCAAGAAGGGCTCAGCTCCATGAGTAAGTAAATGTTGTGACTATAACAAACTCAGTGAGACTACTGTACAATATACTCCCCCCCCCCCTAATTGAAGAACAGGCTTTCTTGAAATCTAATCTGCTTACACTACTTCACTTCATATGCTGTGTGCGAGAGAGTAACAGGATAGATGATCGTATTATCCGGTTTCTTTCCGCGGGAAGAAATTTGGCCCCCTCCCCACATGTTGCGGGGACAGTGAGAGATTATAATTCCTATCCTTCCTAAAAGCGTTAATTTGTAGCGGTAGAGAACTGTTCCGTGACAAACAGTTCTGTTGCACGCATAAAGCCAAGATCATGTTACAGACCCGTATTCACAACGTAAGAAGCAATGAGCCCATTTGTGTACTTGGGAGGTTGGCGGCTAGAACCTCGGCTGGGACATCGGCTGGGACGTTTTTCGTAGCTTTCCTCAGTCCTTCAGGCGAAATCCGGTTTAGTGTATGTGAGTTAGGCCACGACTGGCTCATTCCAAATCGTTTGCAACATCTCACGTCAGTCAACGTAACATTCCACGTCACACAGGCCCGACATTATGATCGTCGCTAAGTAACCAACCAAAACCGGATATACAACAGCCGAACACGCAGGTCTCGGTTCGCAGGGAGAAACATCCATCACAAGGTGAGTGGTGATGATATATCCAAAGTAAAGTGTGAGCAAGGTGAGAAGAATCACGCGAGAAATTAAGACGAGCAGAAGAAGCGGACAGTTGTAAATAAGGAGAAGAAGATGGAGAATAAGGAGAGAATATGAAGAAAGGCGGGAAAATATTATGAAAATAACGTAAATTCTAAAAATTTTGACGATGTTACATTGGTACATATATTACGTTTCTGGACATTATCCATATTTATCTAAAACGTTTCGGAGACTGGATTCTGTCTCTTTCTTCAGGTAAAACCTACTCAGTTTGGACCAATCGATTGAATTAACCCCTAAGTAGAAACGTGAGACAAAGTCGATGGGGAAGAGCAGCCAGACGAATGAAATTAGTATTTGACCCTGGACGGGCTATCTCTGTGGTCTGTTGGTGAAATTGATATGACTCTGCAATGAGTGACAGGTTACGCAACAGGCGCCGCCGTGGTTCAGAATTGCTTATACTTATTTGTTTTGCAAATTTTGACATCGTATTGGTGACAACGCTTCACCAGGCTAACAGCTTCACCCATATGTATACAATTATTACAAATGCAGCTAACATCAGACTTAGGAATAAATTTGTTTGTTTGTTCAGTGTTAAAATGCTCCTTAATTGTTTATTGGACGTAGCTTACGTCATTAAAGTAATTATGTTTTCATGGATTGCACTCTTTAGTTACTTTGACAGTTGATTTTGGAAATATTAATAATTTACATTATCTTATTTCTATAAATTCCATCGCAGTCTTACAATTTATTATGACCTTGAAAACTAAAGAACCGCTGAATCTTATTTCACAAGTTGTATATATTAATAATAATATTTCAGTTGTCGGATATAACGCCGTGTAGTGCGATAAAAGTCAACAAATGCTTCTGAGGAACATTTAACCTCCATCTTCAGGATCGAATGTAAACAAGAAACAAGCTTGAAGCAGGAAGCATGGATAATTCTGCTTGCTGCCTGTTTCTTACTGGTTTTAAGTGTTACCGCTAAACAATTCTGCCCGGTTTTAATTGAATATATATTCACCTGTTACATGGCAACTCTTTGTATGATGAACCTGTTTTGAAAGAATTGATGCAACTCTATTTGTACTAGATATAAAGAAGAATGTACCCCCTGCACCTTGAAAATTGTTTACTCAGTGTCAGTTTCATATTAAATTTAGTACTTCACTCTGTAAACCTTGTAGACAGTAACATACGTACAGAAATATGTCTATTATCATCCATTCGTGTTGTGCAGGTAAGATATAAGTTCGGCTTGTAGGTAAATGTGATGCAGAGCTTGAATAAACTCATTAGCCTGGGTCTCAAGATTAAATTTAACAAAATCCTGCAAAAGTCCGCATTTATGCTAATCATTGCTATGTTTCTGCATGAAGACGACGGCAGCCGTGTGTATGGAACGCCCCTGTAGCACTGCGCGTCCTTCCTCTAGCCTGCCTTTCAATCGTGCAGCACTAGAGTTCTGACAAGCAGTGCTCTTAAGTACGTCCTTTATAAAGAGAGTGTGGCTAACCTGGAATGGACATCGCTGAATACACTGGTCCTGGAAGTGGACATCCAACACATCGTGGCTGGAACCAAACGGTTCAGCAACGTGGATCAGCAACAGCACCACACTCAGATATAGAGGCAACATCATTGTCTTACAAGCGGTAGCGCTTTGCACGTGCTTACACGCAGTACGGGCATTTGCAGAAAGTGTCAGTCACTTGTTCACTGTATCTGTCCGGTGTTCCAGTTCTGGCACACATAACTGTTAGTTATTATTGTCAACTAAACTCACAACACTACAGCACTTCCGTCGCGCCACTAGTAGAACTATATTCAGCGCTGAATTATAGAACCAAATGTGAGTTCTTTTCTGTAATTGTCTTAGATATACAAGTATTATTTTATCGGAACCATAATGACGTTAGTGGCATACATACTGATCTTCAGCACTCAGTTATGCAAATATTACAGGGCATCTATAAGTTTATGTTCTTTTGTTGTTAATTTTTTTCAGGTATAAATTCTACTCAGGTTTACTTTACTGAATTCATATTGTCATAATCAGCATATATCGTTAGCCCTGTTTTTTCGAATTGTTAGGCAACCACTACTTTACGTTCTTATGTGATTACTTTCTCCGACGCACAACATATATAACTTTTAATATACTGAAGTCAGCATCGATCAAACAATATTATTAAGTTATAACAACACATTTCAAGATGGTTAAAGACATAAAAAATACGTACAAGTTACTAACTCATGCTAGTATTTTATCTCATAAGCGAGAATACCGATGGAAAGTCACTGTTCGAACTTATCCGTCCCATAACTCCAGGTTATGTTCAGTTGCGGTGTTTGCGTGATACCAGTCTATGTCGATCGAGTGCAAACCTTCAGTCACTTCCGATATAGCGAGACGAGAGTCCTACTAGCCGCTTGCGTCCAACCGCCTGGAGCGCTGATCGACACTCTACTGCCGGGAAGTTCTGCTCGGTTCTGCTGCTACGGACATCCAATGACCGCCCGCCAGGGGCCCGGGAATAGGTGAGGGGGGGATACTCGTCAAGGCACGGGAAGTCATCCAGTTTGCTAAAGTTGAGCAGTCACTGTCCTCGAGGGAACAAACACTGTACAACCCTTCAATAAACTTCATGGATTGGCATCAAATTTAGTAGAGCGTGGAAGGACGAGGTCGAGGCCTGTCTTAATGCTGTGGACTTCCCAGCGTCTTCTTTAACGGACAGACTGGCTGATTCATAGCCCTTTTAGTGTCTTCTTTAACGGACAGACTGGCTGATTCATAGCCCTTTTAGTGTCTTCTTTAACGGACAGACTGACTGATTCATAACCCTTTTAGTCAATTCCATGTGGTTTTTATTTGTATAAACCTTCTGGTTTCTATGGCAACGCAGAAATTTCTGTGGTTAAAGAGCCAAAAATTATTTGCTTTAATAATCGCGAGCTTACCAAATGTCTAATAAAATCCGGACCAGAATGATTACTCTCGTTCCTAGCTTGGAAATAGTTAATTATGCTGTTCCAGTCGTTGAGTTTACGTGGAAATTGATGAAATGGAAAGATTATTGTGAATGATTAAGAGGCAAGGACTTTGAAAGAGACGGTCGTTGCCTATTTCAAGGTAGCCTCCCGCCGTTCACTGCTAGATGTCGAGGATAACCAATAATAATTCGATACGAATATTCTGTAAGTTAAGAAAGTAAGGTAAAATTTCCTCCGGCTTAATTACTCTCTAAAGCCTGGCGGTCACTATATATATATATATATATATATATATATATACCATCTGCTTTAACATACTTAGACTCTGCAATCTTTCCACAGAGTGCATTCGTGTGCCAATATTCCATATGTTTCTCACAATAAACAGCTATTCTTTCCCCAAAGAGCATTGACCGGTTGGGCTCTGTAGGGGTGACGTAATGTTTCCTGTGAGGTACGGTCTTCATTTGTATATATTAATTAGATGATAGCCAGTCTTTGAAGGGTCAAGTACTACCCCATGAAGACACCACACTTTTAACCTCAACGCTAGATGGAGGTGAATATTCGACTTCATGCCCCTGCCAATTTCCCCCGCGGTAATAGCCCCAAGGGTCCACTAGATATGAGGCTTCATGGGCCCCAGAGGCGCTCTGGACTTTGTAAAGAAGAAGAAATGTCTTGCCTCTGCAGGGTATCTAGCCCTGGATCCTCTGTCGATCAGCCTGTAGTCTAGTCGCTACACGGATTGAGCTGTCCCATCTCCACACATAAAGAAAGTAGGTTAAAATATTAACGGCGTGAGGTCAGGGATCTTAACACTTAGATCGTAGCGTTGGGTCAAAATGACTCATCCTAATTCTTGCAACCCGTAAAACAAAGCAGTTACTGCTACTTTCTGCACTCTGTTCGTAGTGAGTTCTCGACGGCTGAACTCTGTGAATCCGCAGTCACTGTTTTGTGGTATATTGCCCTCAGACTGCAGTACGGGCGAGCATTATTTCCTTCTCTAAGGCATCTTTCTTTTTGCCCTTTATCTTTCCGAAGATACATGAATCTCAAGAAAGACATCGGCTTTCCCGAGTGACTTTCTCGTTGTTCTGTTCAGCACTTTGAGACAAATTCAGAGATATTACCTCAAATTAGACTACAGTAACTTTTTCCACATAATCATACTGCATTGAAAGCTATATAATTGGAGCTACTGACAGCGTCATTAGATAAAATGTAAATATAAATATACTTAAAAAGATAAAGTTATTGTAAAAGGCCATGAAGGCCCATAGGGTTGTGAGACGTTCAGGCTCCCACATTATCTAGACAATCGGCTCAAAGATGGCGGTAAGGTTGTCAGCCTTACGCGCCGGCCACGCTTTACTCACCAAGAGAATTATTTAATTAATTCCTGGTACTCATTTCTGTTAGAGGCTGAGTCAACCCCAGGGCCATAGTGCGGCTGGAAGGTTTAGGTCAATTGTAAAATATCGAACCCGCGATCTTCCTGCTTGTAGCATAGGCCCTCGACCTACTACCCTACCGCGTGCCCGGACCGAAACATGTTAAATAAATAATATGAAGAGCTAAGGAGCTTTCGAAGCGTGAATTTTAATATGTGGACGCAATTGCACAAGGACAGTGAAGTGAGTGCGCTACAAATTGGGGTGCACAGTGCAACAGGATGTTTCAATACGAAATGATGTTTATTAAGTTCTTTTATCGACCCAACCTATCAGTTATGAAAGAAATATCTTGTCCTTCCTATTGAAGGTTAGTAGATGAATTAAATGAATAAAATAATCGGCTATCGAATAATTAGCTAGAGTAATCTTAGCTCTTATAATGAATCTGTAGATAATACGCGCGTGCGCGCGAATGCGTGCATGCCGTTACACTGACCGTTACGCTGTTAAACTTAGCTCGTTAGAGGAAGTGGGCATTCACGGCTGGCGTGTCACAGGTTCCTTCTTCGTCTTGACTGAGTTCTTCTGTTGAATGAAACTACTCCATCACGTCACACTCGAGTAAAACTTCACTTTCAGAATCTACCTCGTTTCTCTTTGACAAATATACGTAGAAAAGGAAGAACATGTTTATGTAGACCTTTCAGGAGTTCCGACTCCACTCGTCAATTCCAGCAGGCGTACCCATCTCGAGCATCCTCTCTATTCTAGTATTCGTCTTCCGCTCAGATTCTCTCTGTGATATTCATGGAATTTGGCCGAACTTAATTCTGATCTCTAAAGAAGTCCACCGAGTAGAGAGCTTAGAAGCTGATAGTGTTTTTATTGCTAGTGGGGTGGGACTAAGTCCCTTGTACTGCGGCCACTTCTGGCCCCAGATGATAGGTGATGGTGATTGTGGAGCAATTGGTTGAAAGAAGATTGGCAGGGGAAACCGAAGTATTCGGGGAAAACCTGCCCTAGCGCCAATTTGTCCACCACAAATCAAACTTGACCAGACCCGGGATCGAACCCGGGCCGCCGCGGTGGGGAGCCAGCGGCTAACCGCTTGAGCTACGGCGCGGCCTAAGCTGATACTTGCTCAGCTCTTAATGTACACCACATATTCATTACTGTGTTCAAAAGAGAACAATACTCTTTCCTGTTATCATCCAGTTGAATCCACTTAACCATCCTAGCATTGAATGGCTTTAATTTGCATTTAAATCTTTTCCTCCCATCTACGTCTTGGTCTTCCAAAATTACTATTTCCCATCATATTCCAAGACTAATATTCTTTCACAATAAGATATGTGGATTTTATTTTTGGTTTGTGGAGGCTTCCGGGGCTGCTACCCCTAAAATCCGGCCCTGGTTGTTGTACACATGACGTAATGTCTATCGCTCTATGAGTCGGGTCTTGTGGTGTTAGCTGCTAATTCTTATACATTATGTGACGATTATTTGGCCATGACTCGTTTATCAGCGCCTCGTTTTTTAAACAAAATATGGTACACAATGATGAGACTGCCATTACACTTCGCCATCTCTGTCTTACAAGTCCTGTACTGATGTTCCTGCTTATATGCCACTTCTCAGGTGTGAATTGGTATCCGTGAGGTGGGGACTACTGTTGCCGTTTCTCACTACTACCAGAAGTAAAAGGATTAGGCTAGTGTCTGTCACTAGGAAACGGCTGTGTCGATGAGAAGCATTTTGCATTGAATTTCTTCTAGACGTATGAACTTTTCTCTTTGGCGTTTGCCGGAATAGACATTAGTAAGTGACGATTTGCATTTCTGTCAGCGACTTAGTTTCGCCGGGAAATTTGGTTGCAGGCTGGACCCAAGTTCACAAACTGGGCAATTAACAGTAAACATACCTTGCTCTTGAAGTGAGTCAAGGTTCTTATGATGGCGTCGCTTTCATCCCTGAAGCCCTGCTTCCATGTTGAGGCCAGTTTGGAAACTAATAAAATAAATGAGATCTAAGAGTTTGTGACGATGAAACAGTAAAGTAAAAAAAGTAAAGCTACCCCTGTACCAGGCTGTGAAGGCCCATAGGGTTGTGAGACGTTGAGGGTCCCACATTATCTGCACAATCGGCTCAAAGATGGCGGTAAGGTTGTCAGCCTTTCGCGCCGGCCGCGCTTTACTCACCAGGAAAATTATTTGACGATGAAATAGTAGTGGAAATATTATGTTTCTGAATATGATCCATCTTCCTGTCTTTATCTAAGAAGAACCATCCTGTTTATATTTAAAAACACAATGGTAGATCCCCGAAAACACTTCATTTTAAATATAACTCTTTATTATTTTTAAGATTTTGTTATTTGATTTAATTTTTTGTTAAGCATTCACGTTAAAGGAAAAAGTCCTTAATGAAATATATTGGGATCCAATGCATATTACTTATGATATTTTCTTGCAGTTTGCTTGTTTGGAGAAAATTACTAATTTGTTAACAATATCAAATACACGCCACCGAATTCGCTGTTCAATTCGCTCATGCCATCTACCTTACGCCCGGTGATACACAACACACATACGGACGAAATGGCAAATAGACGTCCAGCGTCAATAAAAATGTATTTCTAATTCAACTCCCGAGGGTGAATTTACCAGTTTTTTTGTTTTTAATACATTTCGAGTTCAGTAAGAGAGGAAAAACGCATGATGACCAGGTAAGTGAGTCGGGCCGACGGGACAGCTGAGCAAATTGTGTCGTAATGGAACGCACGCAATTTTGAACCATTGTGGCTGTGGTTGCAGTTCGGGAAAAGACAATAAATGGTGGACGATGGGAAAGAGCCTCTCCCAAATCGGTGAAGATGTGTAAATATGTGGACATTCTTCCACACCCATGGTTAAGTGGTCTCCGCCCTTCCACAAGCACCACCAGTTGGTCTTTTCACAGCTGTGCACCGTAAGGTTCGAACGTTGATATCCCCAAGTTATTTACACCAGCTTCTTAAATGTAGCATGGCTACGTTTAACTTCAGAATTTTGTCATGGCAACGGTTCGGTGGCCG